CTTGCATACAAATACTTAGGAGCGGACACTGTTTTTTTGAAGCTGCCATGTGGCCCCACCATCTTGAATACAGTGGCCAAGATGGAAAGCACCATTCCATCTAATCACATTTTACATTTATGGCTATAGACCGGCCACATACATAAGAGAATGCAGCAGCGTACGTGTGCTGTGGAGACAAATTTTTATTCATATCTGCACCTTCAGACTCAAGATTGCTCATACTTGTGATCATACATATGAGAAGGGATCCCCTTCTCACCAAAGAAGTTAAAATATGAAGGAAAGACACAACTTAACAGCCATCTGGATTAAAAATCATCCTCTTCCTCCTCACATTAAACATAATCTCCTAAACTGGAATCAATGCTCTTAAACACAAAAAAACTGCATAAACATGCTTATTTATTCCTGAAATTGTTGCAATTACCTATTCTCAGCAAATTGGACAAATTTGATGGTCCTCTCTTCTAGGCACCTGACAACAAAACCACAAACTAAACCACAACAATAGCTGGTTATAAGCTAACATTATGCCAGCTAATGTTTGGCTCGAGTGTCCTAAAAATTACACTTTCAATCTGATAAACAGTTTGATTATATTTTTAAATTGATGAGAGTTTATTCGCTACGTGCCTGAGTCCAGCAATGTTAGATCCACTTAAAAGAAAACTTGACTGACATCGGCTAATAGCAGCTAATGCTAGCTGGCAGCAGCTAACAGTGGCTAACAACAGAAACAACAGGAGTTACATTATGTGGTACATTCTTAATTTAATTCAATGTTTCTGATCTCTATTGCTGAGTAAAAAATATTTGTCCTATAACAGCTGCCATAGATAACATAATGCACTTGAATTAGAATGTGTAAAAAACAGAATTTAGTTGACTGCAATCTACAATCTATTAACATCTAGTGGTGAAATTCTACACACTGTATCTTTAAAGTTAAAAAGTGCTATAAATTAAGTTTGAAAACTTGAGAACCCTGAGTTAAAATGTTGAAGTTGGAATGCTAAGAATAAAGTATAGGTTTATGGACAATAAAGCTGAAAGTCATGGTCAACGTTATATTGATCATTTTACGAACAATAATCTGTTAGGTGTTATTAACTGTGAGCCCAATGCGCTACTAAATTATTGATGTTCCATTTTAATGAATATTAATATAATAATGTTCTATTTATTCTGTAAAGTAAATAAAATATTCTCTGTTCTCGATTCATGTGGCTGTAATACTCATTTGTAGTATTTTTTTGGTTCCTGGTTTGATTTAGAAAGAGCTCATATTTAAAGATGACTCTAAAAATAAGCTCTTCATCTATTGGCTGGAGATGCAGATTTGCCGGTCAACAACTATGAACTCCGACATATGGGAGCTTGAGGCAAAATCTTCAGCAGACGCACATTCTCTAATATTTTTCCAGCGCATAGAAGTGGAAATAAAGGAGACATGGTATGCTGTGCTCTGTGCTCAACTATGCATAAGTATGATCATGATTTTAACGTGGCGTTGTGACTTAAAAGTGTTTCTTCCTAGAAGTGTGAGTCACAGTCAGTCACAATACGTTGGGAAAATGCAGGGGAGGAGCGCTACACCATCAAACAGGAAAACAAGGGAAGGCTTTATGAGTCACACATTTAGAACACCTCCTCTCACCCAAAGCAAACCCAACAAACAGCTCCCATCAAGCGTGTGTGCAAGATACACAAACACATAAAATACAAACATAAACCGCTACTACAATAATTTATAAACCACAAAGTGAAGCGTAAGTTCAACACAAATCTGTACAAACACTTTTTTGTATTTTATAATTCTGGTGTTTCAGTTATGACAACTGCAGCTAGTCAAAAAACAAAACGAGGGAGGCACAAATGAAGGGTGTTTATACAAATAAAAATCCTTTATATTTGTGCCCCTATGTATATTTGCATATAATATAAATACATGCACCCTTCTATATATAAATTCAGGACATATGTAAAGTGCATGCCAGACGTATATGTGTAGATGTTGATATACATTGACATGTGTAAACATGTGTACATGTATGTGAGGTAAAATTTGCCAATGATGAATGGTGAATAAGGATCTGTGCTTCATCTTACCATAACATTCATATATTTTCAGGCACTAATACAACTTATTTTATATACTTACCCAGGTTACAGTTCTAAGATAGATATAGGCCTTAAGTGTTGACTTTTCTTCTAGGAATTACATCCATTTTAAGGGACGGTCTTTTTTCAGAGGCTCAAATGTAATCGGACAATTCTAGCAAAAGCTGTTTCCCGTACTTGGAGGTAAAAGGTCTGCAGTTGATTTCCAAGTGTAGCATTTGGATTTCGGAAACAGTTTCAGTGGAACTCTCAATGTGTGTGAAATGGGCAATTCTGCCCATACTTCAAAAATAAAACAAATCCATCACAGAGAAAGTGGAAACATGAGAGTTCATTCGGTTCTAGTTCATTCTGAAAATATAGTGAGCTGGTCAGCTCTACAGGCATAAAAAGGCCTGGATATCTGTGGAAGAGACCAGTGGTAGATGATTGCCTGATGCTTTTGACGCCCTTCACAAGAACCATTTTCAGGAGGTAGATGTATCATTACAAGTCCATCAAAGAAAGAAAGAAAGAAAGAAAGAAAGAAAGAAAGAAAGAAAGAAAGAAAGAAAGAAAGAAAGAAAGAAAGAAAATGTAAAAAGCAAGAAAAGTTCCGAAACAGCATTCATTGGATCAATGACTATGAATGCAACAGAATTATAGGGAAAAAAATATATGGAGAAGGTTTGGAATGGGTCATGATTCAACGCTCACAACATCATCTGTAAAACCTGTGTGAAACATTGTGATGTATGGGCAAGCATGACTTCCAGTGGCACTGAGTAACCTGTGCTTATTGATGATGTGACAGAAGACCGAAACATCAAGTGTGCATAGCTTTCGTTTCAGTAAAGCAGACTGCACACCTCTCAGTACAGACATCATGGGTTCGAATGAAATGTTGTCATCAGACTTGCCAAGCTTTTTGTGACCACACAAAAATACACCAACTACACATGTGCCTATAGATGGAACACCTACTCATCTGCAGTATTTCTAGCTGTCCATGTCTGACTAAATTAGAGTATAATCAAGGTTTAATAGCCAACACAACAAGGGTGAATACAGCCCATGGTCCTCCTGTCTTAGCCAAGTTGAAAACATACAGTCCCAGCTGCCATCAAATGGAGTTAATAAGCTTTCCCACCATTTCCCATTGTCTGTGATCCGTGTTAGAATCTCAGTTGATGATTTTCCAGGTAATAGGAATTTTCTTCAGCAAAGGTGAAATAAACAATTTGGTTCAATTCAGTTTTATTTCTATAGCACCAAATCATAACAACAGTTGCCTCAAGGCACTTTACATTGTAAGGTAAGGACCCGACAGCAATAAACAGCAAACAGAGAAAACTCCAACAGTTAGATAACCCCTGATGAGCAAGCACTTTGGCAACAGTGGGAAGGAAAAACTCCCTTTTAACAAGAAGAAAGCTTTGGCAGAACCAGGCTAAGAGAGGGCGAAGCCACCTGCCGCAACGGAGTTGAGTGGAGGAAGACAGGACAAAGACACTGTGGAAGAGAGCCAGACATTAACAATAACTTGCCGTTATTTATTGACTTCACATTTAAGCCAGCTTGTTGTTGTGTTTTTGATGATGCCAACAAGGAAAATGCAGATTGCCCTCTGGTGGTCAAATAACGTAACATCAAAATCCATAACACGTGTCAAGGGTGTTTCTACGATCTTTATTTTGTACATTGTCAGTTATTAGCTGTTATAAATGCTGATACAGATGGATTGGCCAGCAGCTAATATCAGTCAACAATACTGGTCCACAATATTGGTAAATTGGTGAGGCTTTAATTACTACAAATCGTAATCAATTTTGCTGCCTTTGATCTGCTGCATTTGTGAATCTGCAGATCTGAGGAGTGCACTCTCATTTGGGACTTGTGTTAGAGAAATCTCCTCCTTGTTTCCTTCTGAAAACTGCAAAAACAAGCTGTGAGTACCAATCAGGGTTCGTGACGCTGCTCACTAGGTTGGAATTTCATTTCAAGTTGGCGCACTGCTTGCATGTGTCAGCTTGAAATGGCACATGGAAGCATTCTCTGATCACTTTGAAATCAAAGTGATCAGAGAAAACAAAGTAGAAAGCAGTGCACAAATGAATTCTAAAATGGACACGCAGAGGGAAAAAGAGTTTTTTGAAAACTTAAAAAGCCATCAAGTTACATCAGAAAATGAAATGAAATTGATTAAATTTTGCATGATATCAACTAAACTTTTTAGCGGGGATAGCAGCTGATAGTCAGAGTGTCTGCAGAAACTTCAGTCTCTGTGCACGTGATGAGGCCACACACACTCACGTATTCCACACTGACACACACATGTGCACGCAGCATCTACAAATACACCCACAGCTCAACTGTAGTAGATTTCATGAGTGCCAGCAGCATGAAGGCTGCCTCCCCCTTCCTCTCCCTCACATTTCACTTCCTCTCTCCCTCTCTCTCTCTATCACTCTTTCTCTCTCCATTGCTTTCTCACTCTCTCCTTCTCTTGCTCACTCTCTATGCAATTCTTTGTCTTTTTTCTGCTTGCGGTGTTGGGAATCCTCTTTTATCCTGTTTTGTTTTTTTTCCCCTTCTTTGAATCTTTGTTTCCATCTCTTGATGAGAGAAGTCTCCTGCAGATTTGGCTCTTTTATTTCTTGTCTTCTCATCTTTCTCTCTCTCTCTCGCCATGTCTCCTGGTTCCAAACACTGAACCTCTCACTCTGCCTCTCTCTGGATCCGGCATTTCCTATGCATCTCCCCGCTGCTGAGGGGTACAGGGACTCGTCTCTCCCCTCTTTCTCTCCCGCTCCCACTCCGGCTCCTCCACCTCTACCTCCTCTGCTTCACCTCTCGTCCTCTCGCTTCCTAACGGAGGGATAATGTTCTATTTCCAGCTGGTGATCATGGCTGGGACGGTGCTGCTGGCTTACTACTTTGAGTACACGGACACCTTCCCCGTGCACATCCAGGGCTTCTTCTGTTACGACAAGACCTTCTCTAAGCCCTACCCTGGTCCGGATGATACCAGCAAGATCCCTCCGGTGCTCATCTACTCGCTCGTCACAGCCATCCCTACCCTCACGGTAAGAGTTCTAATTATTTATTCATTTCTAAGTATGGAAGTAAAGCTTGGCAGATATGGAAGGGGGTGGGTAGTTAAGAAATTCAAGAGATAATCATGCAAGTGGGTTTGCATCTCCCGTGCTCTGAAAAAGCAGAGTGGGGGAAAATGATGCGTTAGAAAGATGGAAGTTATCAAAGTTGAGATTGTGTATTAGATTTGCTCTGTCTTTAGATGCTGCGAAAGTGCATAAGAATCTCCTACTTCTGGTGTTTGGTAGTTCTCATGATGAATCATCTGTTGTGCGCGTGTGTGTGTGTTTGTGTGTTGCACCACTGTCGATAGTGTGCAGATTGGTAAGCTGCATAGAGGTAACCCCCTCCGCCCTCTGTTCTTGACAAGCGGATGCAAGTGTGTGTTTGTATGTGTGTGAAGAGTACAAAAAAAACTGAGGAAACCATCAGCTCGGACCACACAGAGATGTGATAGGAAGAGGCAGACAGGTCATTAGAGAGAGAGAAAGAGAGCATCAGAGGAAGAGAGACAAACAACACAGAAAGCAATAAAAACGAAGCGAGGTAAAAGTTGGAGTTGAGACAGAGCAGTGATGGCAGGCAACAGATGCTGTTCTTCAAAAACAAAACAAAAAAACCCTGAAGTAATAGGTGAGAAAAAGACACATGAGCACGACGGAGAGTAATTTTTTAAGAGGGGGTGTGTGCTATTATTTTTGTACTGTATTCATGTATGTTTGCACATGCATGAATGCTTGTGCATGTGTGTGCGTGTGAGGTTAGCTGTTGAGCCTCAAGTGAGATAGGAGGCATTGAGCCTGAAATGTGTAACACCTGACCCTGAGTGCAGAAAAAAACCCGAACAGCTTAAATCCCCAGCACACCACGAGAAAGAAAGAAAGGAAGAAAAAAGAAAGAAAGAAAATAAACAGCACATACAGAAACCAACCAGCATCCACAATACAAAGCACACAAATAACCTGAGCAGATTACATGCACAGACAAAAACCACAGCCTGCACTCAGTGCAAAGACAAGAATACTCCACAACTGGAGCACCAAACAATTGCAGATGATGAGGTTTTCTGTGCAGCAGTTCATTGCCAGAAGAAAGACTGTGGGCTGTTATAATGTGGTACCGCTGTGTACAGTTTGTCTCGCAGCCACAATACACAGTGATTTTTTTTTTCTAATTGTGAGCTGTTAGCAACCACAGCAGACAAAACAATACGCGTAAGTAATTTAATGGATTCAGAAAGTATTTATATTCACAACTAAGTGATAAAGTTGATTTATTTGGTAGGAATATAATAAAAGAGAGAAGAAAATGTACAAATGTACAAGTTTGTATGTCTTCTTTTATGAAAGTGTTTGTTTTCTCACATTTGGATGAAACAGCATTTATTTTTTATAAATGCTGTTTCATTTCATTCATAAATGGGGATTGGATTGTAGGGCTGTGTGTGCATAGGGCATGTTTGTTGGGTTCTTCTTTTGTCTTCCATTTGTACAGTTTCCTCACTTTTTCAATATTTTAAGGACATGCTGCACTCCATGCTGTTTTCAGCTAATATGGTAACTCTTTGTGAATCACCTTGTTGGTGCAAAAGTACTATTTCTTTATTTTAAACTGTGGTACTGTTTGCATTTTTATAAATTCAAAATAAGAAATCAGAACAAATTATGTGTTTCTGTGAAAGGCTGCTTGCGGTTTTTGATACGGGTGACACAGGCGGTTGTCCGGGGCGGCAAAAAAAAAAAAAAATTGCTCTTATTCATGCTGCCCCAACATCAGCCAGCGCATACTGGGAATGGCATAGGCACCGATTGGTTTTCTATCGCCCATTTGCTGGGAGTAAGGGCGCCCTCCGTTTGCGAGGTGCGCCTGCTGCTTACGGCACAGGAGGAGAGGGCGGGGCGGCGGGGATTCTCTGGCTGGCTGGAGCTGCATCTAATAACCAACTCGCAAAATAAAACAAAATAAAAACAAACCAACAAACACGAAAACACCAGACATTATGATACAGACTTATAATTTGCACCGTTGTTTTTTCTAAATTCTATGCGCGAAAAGTGAGCGCGAGAGCCCTCAGTGCGCCTGCTCGCTGCTGTGCTGAAGTCAAAATAAACTTTATTGTCATCTCCGCTACATACAGTACAGTATACAGAGAGACGAGACTACGAGGCTCCAGTTACAGCAGTGCAAGTAAACAAACAATAAATATAAGAAGAGTAAGAAAATAAATATACACTTTAGGACTAGGGGTAAACGGATCAATAACAATTTAAAATTTAAAATTTACAGTTTGATGATTTAAAGTTTCACACACGACCTGTCGAAAGGGGAGGGTGCCCGGCTGCTTCCAAAAAGAGCACATTTCAATCCTAATGTTGTAAATCCAAGCCCATTATGTATTCATGATTTGAATCCTGGGTTGTGCAAAATCCCAGAAATACACCTTAGACAAAGTGAATCTGTGAATTAAGGTGTAGGTGTATTAGGTTATGTTGTGGTGATCCTCGGGTTGGGGGATGGGTGTTCAACTGGAGTGCAAAATTAGAGGGAGGGAGTGTTCGCCCAGGGTGCCAAACAGGCTAGGACTGCCACTGCTGCTTGTAATAATGGGCCTAAGTCTGTTCTGTGCAGACACAACACTGATTCATCCACTGAGTTAGGAGCTTTTTTATGCTTGAATGATGGCTTAAGAAACTGGACTGGACTGAAGATGAGTGGGAAAAGCAGCCAATGTCCAAATAAAATTTTCGAAATTTTTCAGAAAGACCACTTAAAAATGACAAGAAAGTCTGTCTCATAAAGAAATAGGGCTGGCTCAGGATAGGACTTAGCAGAAAATTGTACGTGTTATTTAGTGCTAAGTAACTCACTAATACCCACACAGCAGGACATATTATTTTGTGGATAATTTAATTTCTCTTGAGTTGGATTATCCACAGAGACCTTTAAATCTGCCCTAACTCAGGGTAAATTACTCGGGATGTTGAACTGGGTCAGAGCACATTACTTACACCAGCTAGTCTGCCCTAACCTGTGCTGACAGAGGCCTTGGTATGTGTAACAAGCACCAAAGAAAATCACAGCAGTAACTCCCTGAGATAGTGGCAGTCTGGTGTAAACGTGCGTTGCCATTTTTTAATTATATTCAGTTATTGTGCATATTCTTTGATTTGAATGTAGAATGAATCTCTACTGAATGTAGTAGAGATATAGAGTATTAGAGCATCGTACAATAATACTGCTACTGCAGGAACTAATTACACTTTAGAATGTGGACTTAATTACTTGTACTGACCATGTAAATGAGACCTTGTCTGGCTGAGCCATTGAAAGTAATAGGCATCCAGTGTATTTGGGTCAGTGCCAGTCCTCCAAGCCCAACAGAGGGCAGTCTAGCACTCAGTCGGCTCCCAGTGTGGCTCCCAACATTTAATTAAAATCATCAATCATTTTTTGAAGGTTTTAGCACAAAGACCCAGTCCACTGTGTGGAGACCAAAACATAAGAAGAGGTACAAGGCAGGTTTCCGCCTCAGTAACATTAAGGTGAACCTTTTTATAACTTACACTAAAGGTGGGAAGAACTAATAAAGAAGGGGTTATTTTTTTCTATAGTTTCTTTAGATTATTTCCAAAAGCACTGAGCATGGGTGAGATCCATCTTTTCAGTAATAAAAAAAGTCAAAATTTGTTACACCTATAAGTTTATGAAATCTAATACAGTCCACAACAGGCCTATAATTAGGGATGGAATTTGAGAACCGGTTCTTTTAGAAAACCAGTTCCTATTAGTCCAATTTCTTGGAATTGTTAATCTGCCTGTTAAGATAACCCAACAATATGAGCGGACATTTAGGGTAATTTAGGTAAGATCTTTTATAATCTGTAAAGATTTTAAAATTCATATGCGTCCAGGTCACATTCATCTTTCCATGGGAGCAAACTTGCCTTCTTTCTCAAGCATACTGTAGTTGGGTGATATCGCAGCCACTTTCAGGGAGTACTGAATAACTGGTCAATTATTTCTTCAAACTATCTTTGCATCTCCACATGGAGACAATGTAATTATCCCCCACTAACCTCCCACCCGGTAAGCACTGCCAATTTACTGTTAGCTTCTGTTGCTATGCATGAGCAAATTTCCAAATGCGCTGTAATTTTTTCAAACAATGGCCATGGCTCATCTTAATTACTAAGCAAAGTTTTGAGTCACACTTGATTTCTTTATATTTCAGAGGAATGTTGTTGTACTTGTTTTTTGTTTGTTTGTTTGTTTGTTTGTTGAGTCACTTAACACCACCCTATGACTCATTCAAGCATAAATGGTCATCTCAAGGAACCCAAGGACCAGTGTTACGGCTACACACAACAGACAACTTAGCAAAGAGGTATTAAATTTCCCACATGTGGGACTAATAAAGGTTATCTTATTAGCTGAAAAATTGGCATATTTCAGGTTGGTGTGCAGCGTGTCCTGCACAAGTGTGTGTGTGTGTGTGTGTGGGGGGAGGCAGGAATATAGCACATGAACAGTCTGGAAGTCATGTCCTTAAGAAACAGGGAAAAACCAGCAAAACCTGACATAAAACCTGAGAGATGCATTTGAAATTTTATGTTTAAACTGTCAGTGAACAGGGAAGATGAGGAGTGAAGAACAACATGAGTGACTACAGCCATCATTAAAAAAACGGTGGAGGTTCTGTCATGGTTTGGGGCTCCGTTTCACTCAGTGGTGTTGGAGATGTCATCAAAATTGATGAAATTACACAGAAAACTACTTTAGGTTGAATCCACTATGGAATATACTTTATTGTCTGATTGACAATGGAATTATTTTTGTGCTGGACAATGAACCCCAAAACATACCTGGATAGAAAAACACACAATGGAACACTATCAGTCATGGATTGGCCTCCCCAGAACCAATCCATGAGTCAGTAGATACTCAACATAATTGAAGCAGTGTGGGATCATCTTGACAGAGGACATAAGAA